AACGTTGACAAACGTGTGTTGCGTAGCCACGTCTTGGGAATCCGTCTTCGGGGCTGAACATGTCTTTGCGGCTCTTCACGGAATTTGTCTTTAGAATCCGTCTTTGGGAGGCATTTGGTCGTCTGTGCAATTGGAATTCACCGTCATGAATTTCGTCTGTGGGAGTCAATCCGTCTTCGAGGCTGAATTTGTCTTGGCAGAACTGGAAACTTGCTAACCGCACCGCGGGTTCAGTGTATGTGCGCGTGTGTTCCAAAGTGTGTGTCTGTCTAAACACCAAATTTTACCAGTCTTGCAAATTGTCGTAGAGGTCGACATGCGAAAGGGGATCCAAAGGAGGGATGGCGCCTTTGCGAGCGTCTAGCAGGCAGCGCACACATGACACCTTGGTTAGCTCCCACAGAGGGTCGAAGTCAATTTGTCGACCCTCTAGACTGAGTGGTTGGATTCCTCTTTCGAAGTTACACTTTCAGTGGGATATGCCTGAAATCCCTTGAGTCTCAACCTTCAATATCTCAAAGTTCGAGGGTGTGGCTTGGAAGCACCCATGGTACAGGTGGCTCACAGCTTGCCAAGGCGCACGTCAGCACGGACGCTGCGTGTCTGCAGCAGCTCCGACAGAAGTTGCAGCGCCTCTTCCCATCGCGCGCCCTCCTGAAGCCATCATTCGGACCGTGGGCAAGACACGCGGACGGTGTCAATTAGAGACCCTTCTTAGAAAACCACCATGAAACCAACATGTTTGAGCGGTTGAGACCCCATTGCTATCTAAAGCTGGAGGACTCCGCCGCTCCTGAACTCCCTAGAAACCCACCCCCTCCATTGGCACACCATGCGTTAAGGAAGTAGGTCCCATGGGTGACAAGACCGGTCTCCTCACAGGCGCTGATGGCGGCGTTGAATGCGATCACATCAACCTCTACATCCTGCCGCACCTGCGCCAACAACGCCACCGCCTTTCTCCATTCGCCCCCTTTGTCCAGGGCAGTGATCAGCGAGTTCAGCGTAATGCTGTTCCTTGGAACCGTGCGAAACTCTGCTCAAGCCTCGTGTGCACAAAGGCTCTTGCTAACATGGATTTGGAGGCTATGCATGCAAAATCAGCCACATTGCTCACGCGATTGCACGCTTAGCGAGGAGGCTGCTAGCAACTTGTCACCATTGTCAATACACATAGACGATTAAATCGAACCTACGCTGTTGGCGCAACAATGCATCGCAAGCCACATTGACAAAAAGCCTGTTTCCAGAAAACAATGGTGGCCAAAATTGAGCGCAACTAGGCTCCTATGGCTTTAACAAAAAGCCAACCCCAAGCTGAATGAACCGCACAGTCAGGCACAGTTAGATCTGTGCTCGTCACTATAGCTCAAGCCTTGGGTGATGGCCAAAGGCTTCCAGCTTGGTGCCGCATGTCCAGCGAAAAGCTTGGCGCAGGAAATGAACGAGGTGTCATTCACAGCTCAATGTCTGCCCAATGTCTGGCTGAGGGACTTGGAAATTGCTGAGGTCTGCCAGAGCGGGTCGACTTCAACGAATCGCTACTGGGGTGTTGCAAAGCTGGGAACCTTGGGTTTGCAGCTTTTGGGAAACTGAACCCGGCATTTCCAGGGGGTCCACACTGTGGATTGCACCACTTTGCGACCATGGGAAGCCATTGTTGGTTGGTATTTACAGGGGATCATCATTCCAGGGTTTTTTAGGTGGTGTTCCGCTTGTTCCGCTTAGGACCCCGGCCACTCGACGGACAACTCCGGGAGCTCTGCGAAGAGTTGCCAAGCTTTCTGCCAGAGCTCGGCGCCGCCCAAGGCGCTGATCCTGAGGCGCCAAACTAAATTTGCAGCTTGCCTCTGATTGGTGGGTCGGATTGGTGGTTTGGTGGTTGAGCAGCTACAAAAAGCAGGGGTTGAAATCCAAAACCGCCAATCCACGCCACAATCAGGGACACCCGCTAAATGGGGACCGGCCCTTGGCTTGGCCAAACGGAAACCAACCGCTGTTGGGTGATCAAGCAGTTGGCTGAAGTCCACAAAGCTTTCAGAATCACACGCAAGCAAGCAACCATTCAACCAAACAATCAATCCAACTCGCAAGCCAAGCAACAAAAACAACAAACGCAGAGAAAAACAAGACAAACAAACACGCCAACCGATATACAAACAAACAAAACCAAACAAACAAACAATCACACAAGAAACAATCGGGCAAACGTGCAAACAAAAACAGCAAGAATGCATGATTCAAGAGCACCTAGTCAACTCATCGAGCAATTGAGCAAGCAAGGCACTCAAACAGCACAAGAAGCAAGCAAGCACTCAAATCACAACTCAACTCAAAAACAAATGAATCAAATCACACCGAAAGAAACGCTTCTTTCCAAGCTGCAAAGCGCTATAGGTCACAACATCCCCGGACTGCCGGAGGTGCTGGAAGTGAGACAACATCTGGACGGCCTTTGCCCATTGGGCCGCCCGGTCGCAGCTGCTGATTGCCGCGTTCAAGGTGAGTACCTGCAAGGCGAAGGCTCTTCGCTCTGAAAATGAAAATCTCTGCATGTGTTGTGATTAAAGCAATGGCATAAACACGCGCAATGTGTAGAGGCGTTCAAGTCAGGGTTTCCGTGCTTCAATTATTGCTGGCGAGTGTATAGATATATACATATGTATATATATATATATACACATACAATTATATATTCATTCCTACGTGAAACATGTATGCTGACATGTAGATGCGCAAGCTTAGCTGCCCATTTTGGGACGGATTCCTCTTGAGCCCGGCAAAGGCACAAGTGAAAGCTCCAAAAGGCTTTGGATCTCAGTCTTCTTCGAGGCCCAGACACAGATTTAATGGTCCAAAGGAAAGAACCTATTTCCAGTGTCCTTTTCAGGGAGAAAATGTATCATCCATCGCCAAGGGCTTTAGGCCAGTGGCACAACGGAAAGCTGAAGGATACAATTGGGGCGCCCCAGCTTCTACGTTCGGGGTGTGTGTGGAGGGGCAGCCAACCCGTGTCGATGCACGCAGCGCCTTGGGAAACAAAGCCAAAGTTGGCCGCACCAATTTCCGGTTGTGAGTGTGCAAATCAATCAGGTCCTGGTTTTGGCTACTGAACAGTTTCCAAGTAAGTTGAAGCAACCTTTTGGCACACACACACACACACAACACGTGAGTCTCGCAGGCAAATGGAATGGTTGTCGCAGAGTGGCGAATCTGATGGGCGGTGCTGCATATGTCCCCTCTTCTGAACTAGCCATATGTATGTGGCATCACAACAAGCAATCTGGAGCACATTACAAATCGGAACGGATGAACCTTTGAAGACCCAGGTCACTTTTTTTTTGCATATGCAAACCTTCTTTGAGACAAACGTTGCCAGTTGGCAGTTGGCAGCTTTTGGAGGTCGGTCGAGCCGGAGCAAGTTTGGACATGGACCAAGGCTCACATCACGCCCCAATCCTGGCGAGTGGCATTGGGGGACCAGGGGCCAGACGAGGACAAAATGGCCAAGGCAGCGTGCCACTCGCCTGGGCTACAAGCTCGAGGCAGGTGACCCCTTGATCGCGTGACATCTGGGTGCGCGCTCGGAGCGCTTGGACTCCATCCGCAATTTTCCGAGACGTTCCTCTGGCGGGGGATCGGTTTTTGCCGAAGGGGGCGAGCTTTGGGCTAGGCACCCATCATGGGCTCAGCCCAAAGGGAGGGCAATGAAATGTCGACTTGAGAGCCTGCCCAGGGAAATTTTTCAGAGGGAATCACACAACTCAAAAGGTTGACTTGCTGTGAATGACCTGGAAACATGAACAATGGAGTTTCCGCAGTTGACACCTGCTAGCCACAAAAATTCTGCGCATGCCTTCCAGAAAAAGTCAATTATAATCTTCACCTCTGAAACCGGGCTACTGGCGGCTCGTTTGTGGGGCTTACTCTGCCGGCTTGCACTCTGTCCAAATCCAGAAGGAAATGCTTAAAGAAACTGGCAAACAACAGCACTCATCACTAAATATTAGACTAAGATCGGCAAAGGAGTGGAGGGAGGCAACATATGAATCACACCCTATCGACGCCTATGCCCACTCAAGGTCATAGAACTACAGTGGCATTTCAGCGACTTTGCCAAGACTAATTCTGCAGAGGGACATCCGGTGATGACACTGGTGTAGCTGATGACGTTCCTGATGCGGTTGAGATCAACCCTCTGTTGTCTGCCCGTTTGTGTAAGCCTCAAACATGAGAGGTAGAAGCAACCTTGTACAGGACCACTCGTTGAAAAAACACAGATCAACATGTCGCAGTGACTGAGCTTGTATCATCTTCAAGGTTAGTCGAAAACAAATATCCTTGTCTGCTTACAGCCAATTTCTCTGCAAGATCCATGCTAAACAGTTCTCTACGCCGTACCCAAGGAGTTCCTAGACTTGGCATATGAACCTGGCAAGGTACACAAGCCACTTTACTCTAGGCTTCTCAGTTCCCTTAAACTTGCCCCGGCTGGCCTCCCCGCGAGATGGGTATGTAACTACATTCATACACGCATCTCTCTAATGTATCATTACAAACAAATGTGGCCTACTCTATGTATTTGCATCAATCAATATTAATACGTGTGTGTACACGCACACCAAGCATTTGCATCTAGATTTACAGGTACCAAATATGTCGTGAGATAATGCTGAAATTTGCGTGTTTTGTTTCCAGCAACATCTAGTACGCCGCTCGGCTTACCTCTTTGAACCTAACTACCCAATCCCCTTGCGAAACAGGGGACTCTTTGGCTTCCGTTGGGGACTCCGCGATGGGCGGGCGAGTGGCGCTTCCACGGACATCTGCCTGAACTCACGGAGCTGCAGTACGGCCTGAGCTGGGGGCCACCCTGAAGCCAAGGGAAAGACCTCGCTCCTAAAGTTACACACCACGACGGACATGCCTGTGCACTGAAACACATGTTTAATTCCAAACCTATGTTTCATCCACGACGGCCCAAAAAGAGAAGGAGCTCGTGCCCGGCCAGGGGCTTCGGAACTGCAGCTTGGAGTTGATCCCCAAAACACCTTCAAGTTTGAACTTGGTTGACGCTGGAAGGGGAGCAACAAATTAAATCTTAGCAGCTAAGTGGGGATTTTCCACTAAACCACAATAAGCAAACATGTAAAATGTTTCCCAACAACAACCATGTTGAGGTCTACTCAAAACCTACCTCAGCCTCCCCGAATCCAATTTGCTCCATGAGTAAAACTCCCATCTCCCATGGCAATCTTCGGGAGCCTTCTGCCACTGGCCGCAGGCGACCAGTGCGCTGACTAGGGCATTGCAGGTGACGCCAGTGGCTTGCAGCCTTTGCGCCACCAGTGAAGAGGCCAAAGCCAAGGCCCTCCTCGGGAAGTTGGCGACAACAAAACGCACAACTAAACAAACCTGTCTGGAAAAATACTGTTGTTGAAAGTATGCTGTACCAAGGAAGGATAGATTGAATGTGTAACTTGCTCGAGCGTAGATCATTCTGTTGCAAGTGGATAAGCAAGCGCGCACAATGCAAATCACAAGTTTCTGAGAAGCGTATTCATCATGATTGAAAGTTGTCATATAACCATACGAAGCAGTTCAACATAGAGCACGTGAAACAGCACAAGACAAGCCAATATGGTGCACATGCGCGCCCACACACGCACACACACACACACAAACACACGTGACTCATGCAAAGCTTTGCTACGTATGATGCATGCATTTGTGGCAAATGCCCAATACCTCCGGAGCCTGTGGGTATCAGGGGTTGTGGCAATGCAAGAGTTGCGAGAGATGCTTACCTGAATCCGAGCGAGTCCTTAGCAAGAGACCCTTGGTCTGGGGTGGGATGCAGGAACTATGATATTGCAACACTGCAGCCACGCCCAAACCAAAATGATATCCTCTCTAAATCGCACAAAATTGACATGAACAATGGCGTCCTTTTCTTTCCAGGATGAATGGCAACGCCTTCCCTGCACGCACTGCAAAGCCAGGAAGGAATCAAGTACTGATCCACAAACAGTAGACACAGCCTTCACAACCCTCTGAAGAATTGAAGGGCATGAGAGCTCGATTGCTCTGGCATCCAGTTTGCCAGAAAGCAACGGCACACCAAACATCTCAAGCCTTGGAAAAATAATCAACAAACAACAATAGTGAGAGATTCCCTTTTAAACCCAGCAGGGGAAAATCAACACATACATATTCTTAAGCAAATCGAAGCTTACGCATCCAGCAGAGCCTGACGGCCACATCTAGCCAAACGCCGAGTGGCTGCCATTCTCCGCCGGCGCCCAGTGCAGAAATCACCGAGTTGCAGGTGATGATGTCTACCTGTACAGAGATCTAAGATTTCATCGTGGTTTGTGAAGGATGTTCATTATTATCGCAAAAAGATGAATGGATTCGTTCTTTAAGCACTCATCATATTGAACCAATAGATATTTATCGTAATATGTATTCATTTGGATCAAGTAATGATAATATTATACCATATTTTGTAGATTACACCAGTTTGTGTCAAAGGGGAACCAATTAGAACAGGTTGCGTTCAGCCAGGTTCCCTTTAACCAAGAAGTATATTAGCCTAAGAAACGCACACACACACACATATATCTAGCTAGAAGCATATTCACCAAGTGAATGAGGTCGCTGCTTTTGCCTAGATCAATTTGCCCAACGCTTCGAACTCACCAAATGGAAGTAGGAGATAGGTATGGGCCGTGCCAGTCTTACCCCAGATCTGCGAGTGGAAAGACGAGGGAAGCCAGTGGCACAGGTCAACAACCTGACATTTCAGTCGCCTTTTGGATGCTGCAACTTACTAGGGAGGACGGTCAACGCCCACAATGGCATCCAGGGCCTACGACAGTCTTTCCATTAACCTGCAGGCGTGACAGGATGGAAAGGGACGCCCATGGCAACTTGCCTCTTCTGTAAAAGAAGCTATCAAAGTTGCGCGACCCCGAATGTTCTCTACATATTGCAGCCTGAGCTGATTTCCATGTCCGATCGCCATCTGATTTTGGGGTTGAATCAAACATATGAGCCCCTTTTTTCAACCCCCGCGCCTCCAATCTGGTGCGTGCATCGTCCATCAAGGCAAGCGCCAGCTGCCATCGCCCGCCACAAGCACCTGACACTGCAAAGCTGGGGACGCAGCAAGACCGCAGTCTTCTACTTCGTTCCAACCACATTGCCCCCAGGGCATTGGTCCTGAATGCTCAGCCACTGCGGACCTTTGGCCGATTGGCGCTACCAAAAGTGATGGCTGACATCTCTGACCCGGGGAAACAGTCCGGCACTTTGGAATGGTGCTAGGCCGCTCAAACGCTTCAGTAGCCTGACCTGCAAAGGGACATCCTGTAGCCGGCTGCCTGCGCCCCAAAGCCTGCCAACCCATCCTACTCTCGACCAGACTTCGCAGGCAAGCGAAGTCATCACCGGAGCAAGCCGAAATCCATTCCAGTTGCGTCTCTCACTTTCACAAGCCCGGAGCACGCGCTTGTCCGACGCGACACAGAAAAATCAGCCATGGACTTTGCACCGTAAAACTCGTCTCATATGAGTGGCATGAGCTGAAAACAAGCCAGTGGGGGGAGCTCCTCTGTGTACCTCACCCTTCCATGCCTTGGGGATCCATCTTGAACGATTAACATTGCAACAGCTCCTGAAAAAGCTAGGAATCTGGTGATCTGGTGAAAGGAAATCACAGGTCTGCTAAGCACACTTGGCAAATAAGGAACCTGGGCAAACAAGGAAAGGGTACAATCAATTTATGAGTCACAAACCGGACACAATAAATTCCTGAGCAAGGGCTGTTGATCATGGGTCAGCTCGGGTAACCCCTAGGTGAGCTACTATATTTGGCGCAGGGTTACGCCGAGCTCTTGACTCCATCTGTGCATTGGACAAGCGTCGTTGACAATTGGGTGACATGCCCCAAAACACATGTGAATGCATGCTTCTAGTAACATGAACACAGCTTAAAAGCGACGCTGATCCGAACAAGGCCATGTAAAATATGTTCGGTAGTTTATTGCCTTCAACGAATGCATGTTGGCAAACAATTGGCTGACTACGTTGGCTTCATCATTTAGACGGAAACATGCAAGCCCCAACTACACAACGGCCTCACCATTACTATGCAACAATCAACAAAATTGTCAGCAAACCGTGCCATCTTGACAGCAAGCTGTGGACAATTCCTAAGCCTTACTCTCTTCACCGCAGTCCGAGGAACTAATGGCTGAGTTGTAGGTGATGGTTGTAGGGTCTGCGCGAGCTTCAGCCAGCAAGGAAATTGCCATCTGCCACTCATCGCCTTTGAAACCCGAGAATGGTTCGCTGACCAGTGGGAATCAAGAATTCTCATGACCCCAAACCAAAATCTCGGACAATGAACCAGCATTCTGCGAACGAACTCAGCAATTACAGCCACAACTTGCACATATGAGTGAACATTGCACACGTGGAATGCGATTCGCCACGCACAGGCGAATCGCTCCACTGCATTGATGCTCGAGTCAAGGGCCAGTGGCTCAATCGTTGCAACGTGCCCGGGGGAGTTGGACACAATGTTGCTATTGCAAAACGTGAAACGTGCCTCTGAAAATCGTCCTTTTGCTTGATCCAGGCATTTGAAGGGAAAGCTTGCTCTTCATACTGTTCTCCCTGAAGCTTGACAATCAAATACCAGGGGCAGTTGCAACACACGGGGCAACAAACAACATAAGATGACCAAAAGACATCCTAGCTGAAGCTACCTGTGCGCGTTTGATGGGGTCCCCAATCATTCTAAGTGGATGCTGGGTCAAGTTGGCAAAGGCCAAGCCACCCTTCGCACAAGCGCTGATGGCTGCGTTGACCGCAATGATGTTTGGCTGCAAGCATTCTTTCTCAAGATCCGCGAGAAAATGGATGGCCAATTGCCAAAGGCCGCAGCAGTCACAAGAATGAATTGCTGTACTATACCTCGGCTGGCCGGCAACATGCCTGTTGCCACGAAGCAGGCTGGAAACCTGTCCTCTGCCTCTGGGCATTGTGTCTCCCAACGCTACATTGGGACAAATTAACCCTTGACTACGTTAGTGGCCTTTGCTCTCGGCATACGCTTTGAATCAGGGCTTGGCAAGTTGATGCGGTTTTAGTTTGACTCCCCGGGGCGTGCCTTAGCCGATCGCAAAATTGTGCAACACACAAGGGATGCAAAGCCCAGCAAGTAGTCCAAACGAAGGATTCGACACCAAAAGCACCAGAACCTGCTAGCCCAAGTGAGCTCTCCAATTAGCTAGCAGGCTGGGAAGGACATATCCACTGAAAAGCAAACATCTGGAAGCACAACTGCGAACATTACCGATTCGACTGAAATCGCGTGTTTTCCCACTGTCCGTCACGGCTTCAGAATTCATCCGACAAGAGCCCGAACGGAGGGGTCGGACTCAAACGCCTCCAAAGTGCGTGATGCTTGTAGGAGAAAGGCGGTGCACTTTGAGCTGGCCCAGAAACGTCAGTGTGCGCGGCCACTGCCTGAGCAACAGGCGGGGCTGGGGTGCTTCCGACAGGCCAAACCAACTCTGATTGTGAGAATTTCACGTCTTTGTTCCTCGCATCATGCATTGCGAATGAGATATGGGGCATTCACCGCCAACTGAACAGCAAGGCGGCCAAAACGAGCCAAACACCCGAGCTTGGGTATTCCAGAAGGTACCAATTCCCTCAGCTGATCTCTCTCGCTTGAGTCACTTCAAAACCCCGCCGCTTCGGCTAGGGTACCTAAAGCTCTCGCAGATCGATAGATTCGAGCTCTCATTACTGCGCAGCAGAGCGCCTACACCCTTTCAGGCAATTGAACCAGGTAAACCAGGGCCCTCTATTTTTCGACCACATCAGCCAAAAAGGACACCCATGCTTTCAAGGGGCTCCCCAAACAGCAGCCCTTTCGACAAACCCTCCATGGCGCTGTCCAAGCTGCAAGGCTGCAGAGCGCATGGCGGCATTGTAGCTGACAACGGTCCGCTGAATGCCCAAAGCAGCGAACAGCTGTAGCGCCCTCTGCCACTGCCTCAGCCATAGAAGCACAATGCAGGCTTGACTCAGGGAAACTGAGCATTGTTCCTACCTGCGTAGTCCCAAGCTCCTCTAGTACACTATGTAAGCAGTGTACTACAGTTTTCGCAAAACACCTGCCACCCGAGCCGGGGTCAAAGCATGTCAGAACGCACGCGAAGCTAGGTACAAAGAGAGAAAGCGAGGGGAAAAAGGGGGCGAAGCTGCAGGCAGGCTAAAAGAATGGGAAGAGACTGAAACGAATGAAAAGACGGGACCCCCCTTTAAAGGTACACCAAAAGGGGGTGCAGTTCAAAGAGTCGGCTTGAATGACTTGGCTCAAGCCTAGGGCATTTGGATCTGGGGGAAACGCCCCTTGTAAGATACTCAGGTGCTTTGCCAAAAACTGAGAGGTCTAGCACGGGACTTGCTTTTTGCAACTCCGTGGCCTCCGCAATTTGGACACCTTGAAATACCCCAAAAAGAAACACAGAGGACACGCCACTGGACCTTCGTTCGCTCGCTCGAGGCGCTGGACCTTCGCACTGGCGGTGATGGCCTTGTTGCAGTCCACGACCGCGGCCGCAGCCACAGCTGCCCGCCAATCTGCAGGTCTCGGTCTGCTGGTTCCGCCGGGTCCGCCGGGGATCTGGGGTTCCATGGCGGAAGAGCTGCCATGGCGCAGGAAAGATGCGCTTTCTGTCTCCGCAGGTGGGGAACGAGGACTTGGGCAACATTGCCCCCGAATCAAAAGAGGTCAAAAAGACTCAGAATCGAGATCTGGGTTGTGGGACTGGCGAAAGGAGGGTCCCAACCCCTCAGCCCGAATCGCGGAGTGAGAAATCCACGCCATACTTCCAGACGTCCCCAACTGTCTATGGGGGAACATGACTTTGCTCATCTTCGCGATGTTCTTGTCGGTTTCTCTGTGTGGAAGGGGTTGGGGGGGGCGCGGAAAGTTCTCGCGAAAACCACGGCCACTGCGAGATGAGCTCTGCCTGGCCGGAATCATTTTGGCCAAGAAATTGGACGGGAAGCGCCCCTCAGGGTCTGCTCAAAGAGCCAAAAGCATGGCATCCAGGAGCGATACCCCCGAGGCACATGCCATGCCAGAAAGGCTTCGAATGGGTGGTTGACTGGCTCGCATGTGCTTCCCTCTAACCTGATTTGTTTGTGAACGTTAAGAGTTATGTACTGATATGCGAAAAACATTTAGAAGCAATCGACCTCGGCTGTTACCCACTACCATCACAAAGAGTTGTACTACAGTACTTTGCGGCAAATCGGGTTGTAGAATCCCTACTGAAATGGCCAAGGAGGTTGTACGCAAAGAACAAAGGGAAAGCGAGCTGCCAAGGACATTTTGAATCTGGTAGTGTCGGGTCACGGCTCTTCCATGAGCAACGTGTGAGAGCCGCACATGAGGTTCGGTCAACATGACTCGTCCAACGACCATTAGGGAGGGACATGGGGGAAACTCCGTAAATTTCAATCATAAGGGGACAAACTCAAATTGTCCAATGTTCTATTGGGGGAACGAGCAATTTTGACCACGTCAACTAATTGTGTATATATATATATACACACATACACACACATTTGGTCAGTGGACAGAGGTCGCAAGCTATCTCCGACTAGCCTGCGCCATCTAAGGAGGAGTGTGCATTCCATTCCTTGGTAATCGGCTTCCCCTGGATAAATAGTCAGCGACAGAATCCATCGTTGTGCTAATTGAAGTTGCAGGACAGAAAACATCCAGGCCAACCATGTGCCACAAAAAAAACACAGTGGGATCTTAGAACAGCAATTGAGCAGCGCCCAAAACCCAATGGACATCATGATCAAGGTTCCTAGAGTCTTGACCATGACTCCCATTAAAGCGGTAGAATTCCCTACTGCACGGGTTTGGGGCTGCACCTGTGCGTTGGTGGTGCCCAAGTGGCTTCACTAGGCAGCTTTGTCTGGGTTTTGTGCCGAAACTAACAGTTGCTGCTGTCTTTTTATACGACATTTCTCAAGGTAGCAGGCATTGCGTTTCCAAAAATTCAAACGCTGGACATGACTTATACCAAGCACATGGGATGACAAACGGTCACAACAAAGCCTTGGTAATTACCAGAGTGCCCAACTGGCATTCAATGACCTAGATTCACCGCACGTCATGAAATTAACTACCTTTGGCGAGGGAGGAAAGCAAAGTTGCCGGAAACCTTTCGGGGGATCGGGTCACTCCAAAGTTCTGATAGCTGGACACTCGGATCAACTCACCGTCGGACTGTACCGGTTTGAAGCTATCGCACACCCAGCTCTGCACGGCGACCGCGCCGTTTTTACGGGCCATGGCTCTTCCGGGACATGGGCTCCGCGACTTCTGAACGCAGCGACTGTTGCGAGTCGCCTTTTCAACGGCCAAGGAAAGCTTCGGGACTTCCCGTCCATGGTTTCTGCCTGGCGTCGAGTCCGCGCAGGCCAAATGGCCAAAGTCCTGGCCGGAGGCGTTGCATGGCTGGAATCAGGCATTGGGTTTTGGAGGTGGTTGAAAGTGAGAAATGGTGACAGTCAGATTGCTGCCTGGCCGCGGCCCAGCTGATTTTGGCAAGCCTCTTGACTGCGAAAATGGCGTTGCACGTGTCAATGAGTGGTCCTGAATAGGTCATTTAAACATGGCATGCGGCTCGCTTGCTTCGCTAGGGCACCCATGTCGCAAACTTCTGCGGGCTTCAACGCGTCGAACGCTTGATGATATCAAGGCTGGCCCAAAGTATGATTTCCCGGCTGAACTACGAACAAACACACCCCTGACGCAGCCCTAAGTGCCCTTTTTACAAAACCGATGCCGCCGGCAAATGTCTTGAATCGTTTAGAACCGCTGCGATCCATGTAAATTGACCCAAAATGACACATGGGGGGGGTGGTGAAAACTAGGGGGCCCTTTTTGGTATCCCCTGTATAGCGGCATAAAGTGGAACCGAGACGTGAACAAAACGGGCGCGGTCAAATTTTCGACATTGCCGCTCAGTGCGTCCTTCAGCGTGTTCGGTTGCGGAGCTGCCTGCAGGATGCATCGAAGCAGCTTCGGCCTTCGGCATGGAGCTCGCAACCTCCTCAGAGAAGTGAGTTTTTGTTTTTTGCCGAGGGTCGAGCGACTGTGCCCCCTTCTTTAAAGATGCGTTTAAGCCATTGTTCAAACAGCCGTTTGGCTCCAGTTTAAAGGGGACTGGGGTCGTTTAAGCCATTCTTGCCCAAGGGATGGACGCACGCTGTCTGGGGGGTCAGATTGAAAGTCATCCCTGATGGAACGAAATGCGGAACCTCCTTTCGAGGTCGCGATCCCAAGTAACTTGGAGCAACGCCAGCCGGAGGCTTGGATACTGCGACAAGCTACCGGGATTCGAGCAGGATAGCTCAGGGTCTTTGTGAAAGCTGTGGATCCTGCAAATTGTGTGTGAGTGTGCGTGTTCGTGTGTATGGGTGTGTGGGCGAGTGCACGTACTCGCCGCGCGCGCGAGCCTGCATGGGTGGGTGGGTGAGCGAGTGAGTCAGCGAGTGAGTACGTACAGATATCTATCTATATATAATGTTTTTCGAGGGACTGTGGTTTTGGGTTGTCTAAGAAAACACATGACAAAAACAGAAGGCATGAACCATAGTTTGCATCCCCCAATTTCGAATGTGATATCCATCCATTTTGGTAGGTTCCCCCGCTAATCTTCCACCTCTGTTTGTGTGTGCGTGTTTGTGTGTGTGTGTGTGCGCGTTTTTTGAGGGTACCCGTTTGGGTGTGTGTTCTCTTTCTCGAGCGTTTTGATGGCTTGTGACGAGGTGCCAATCCATCCAGCGCCCTTTGCGCGCATCAGGCCCTACGGCGGCGCCGCAGCCTCGCCAGGGATCGCTGCAGGTCTGCCGGCAGTTCGGTGCGGAGCGACACCCGTCGACCTTTTCCTCGGGCGATTGCGGGCACCGGGATTGAGGAAGCGACCAATGTGAAGCTTGGCAATCTTGAAGTTGGCTTGACAAGCTGAGAATTGGTGACAGGTTGGTCCATTAAGCCAATGTCCAAGATGGTTTGCTCGAATATTGCAAACAAATGGTGTGTTCCCGTGTTTGCGGGTCACAATTCTCCAAATAGGTTCTGACGGTGCTTGGAAGCTGGATACAAAAGCAGCAAGCTGTTCCCGCTTGGGGCCATTGAGTGAACTCCAGACACGTTTCAAGCACTGCGGGTGAAGCAAGCACGCAGGGACCAGCAAGAAGGGATAGGGGAAGACCTTTGTTGCTAAGGTATACATCTCTTCCAATGGACTCCACATAGAACTCCAGACTTCCTGCCTGACACCAACGCCCAGGTAGCTGTTCAAGGTTTTGCCCGCTCCACTTGGAAGTCAAACAGGAGCCAAAGGAGAAGAGCTGAACCAGAAGGCTAGTCTTCACTCTAGAGACTCGTTGGTGTGAGAACATCCTCAAAATGAAATGTTCCTTCCCAAGAGATACTCAACTTCTCTGTGAGAGGCACCACATGCAGGGACATATTTGATGCCAAAGCGACAGAAACCTGAAAGAAGAGGGGCCGCTTGCCAAAGGCATCTCTAGAGAACCCAGTGCTACGAAGGTGCGCCTTCAGCCGACGTTTTGCTTCCCAAGCGACGTCATTGTCGCTTATTGATTGTCAGCTTCAGGTTTCCCAAAGCAGCTGCACACGCAATCGCTGCTCTTGGCAATCGCTGCTCTGTTCCTTCCAGTCAACTTCCAGTTCATACATCTCAATCGAGATTAAACAGTATACTTTTGACATTTTACGTGGACCAACGGTACAATCCAAACCTCACAGTGCCGTCGTAATCAGTATCAAACGAGCTAGGCGCTCCAAATTCGAACACGAACCATCTGACATATTAGAGGGACCAACCCAACAAGCAAGGGTTGAATTGTACACAACCAAGCCCCTGCTGGGCTTGGGAAAACAACAGACACACACAAAATCGTTGGGACCTTAACTCCGGTGCATTGCAGGACCCAAATTGGTTACATTCATTTGCATAGCACAAGTGCCTGCAAGAACGGCGCCATCGCTTGGCTTAGGCTCCATCGGTGAAGGCCAGGCGGTGCCGGTGGAGCCAGTTCCTGGACGCTACCGCTTTGTCTCCGCGGAAGGTGGCGCTGCCGGTGTAGAGCCCATCACGGCACAAAGGGTGACCCACAAAGGCCAGCTGGCTCCTGCCGGAAAGCTGTATATTTCACCTAGATTCTCCAGATTTGCGAGGTTCGAATAAGGGAACCCCATGTTTTTTTCTTTTTCGGTGGTCTATTTTTTGCAGGGGAACCCTCCCCCCAAAAAAAGGGTTAAAAGTTAGGACATCTGGGAACTGTGTGGAAATGCATGACGTTCCAGGCAGCCACCAGATAGCCCGCTCAAAACAAACAATAAACTTGGATTGCAGGGGCGTTAAAACGGCAACTTGATCGCACAAGGCAGACATTTGTACACAAGGGCCGAGGTTTACCAAACAACATCCGTACGGAATGGGGGTCTCTCGGGGCGAAGGCCAACACATCAACAGGATCAAAACAAGCTCTCTCTCTCTCTATATATAATATATATATATAGATGAAAGCAATTATGACACTTTTCACCATGACGATCCTAACTTACTGCTGTGACTCGTTTTGCAATTCCACTCCGCCAAAAAGCGACCTGAAGGTCTCCCATTCTGTAGGGACATGTAAAGGCAAGCGATTGATTTGCAGCTGGACAACTACACATGCTGACCCGGCCTGATTTGGTGCTTCCTGCCGGTGACCTCAGTGGCAAAACAGCAAGAGGAAGGCCAATCAGGTTGCCACGGGCAAACTGGTCGTCGTGCCATCTTCGCTAACTGAAGGGACTTAGAGCGATTTCATCGGCAAAGCCCATGTCTCAAGATTAGAGCCCCCCTTTTGGGATCCAAGACAGAAGCCAAGTTACCAGTGAACAGAACTCCAAAGCTGGGGTGTCTTCTTTTCCCGAGGGACACACAGTGCCATCTCGAGGGTGGTCAAAAACGGGTATATCTGGAAGGGTGTGAAAGCCTCAAAACATGCAGCACAGCCAATTTCCACCTGGGTATCTTGAATCAGGCACCTGTGTGGATTAAAAGGAACGCAAATATGTTGTTAGACCCCTTTACGCCCTATAGGAGAACCGAAGGTCAACGGGTGGCAAAAAGCGCTGCTAGGTTGTCCGGCTCACTTGCGGCGTCCGAGTCCCATTGTGTATGTTTTTGGTGGCACCCTGAAGTTTGGAACTAGCTCCATCATCGATCTGCCATGAGCCCACGGATCCTACAGGGGTTCCGGCGGTGGGTTTGCTATTTGGATGTGTCCAAACCAAAAGGGGGGGACCCTATTCAGGGGGGCTCTGCATATCAATTTCCTCTTGACAGCAATCTCACTTGGACACTGAAATCGCAGCTTGAAGCCCTAAATTAGGATTTGCCCGAGCGACACGCATGCTTTGCCCGCACTTACTGCAGATTCCAAGCCTTCATGTAGAACTTCGGACGATTCTGCTGATTTTTTTTTGCCGGCTCAGCAAAACAGAGGTACACCTACGTTTTGCCCGATTAAGGGCCTACCCGGATAAGACTTGCCAGGGGGCCAGCCTCAGCAGCAGGTATGAGAAGGCGCCCACTTCACCTCACGCATGGATGGACCAGCGCTTTGCAGCGTGAAAGCATCGTGGAATGATGAATCTAAAGGGTGTACAAGCTTTCACCCAAATAGCATCTAGGCTTGTTTCCTTTTTCCCTTGCACCCGAAAAGGGGTCCATCATGAGAACCTCCCACACGATTCGGACTCCGGACAGTTCCATACGGCCTGTGGAATATCCAATTCGCCCCGAACCCCAGGCTGCGACCCAAGAAGGACCCCTTGGTTGGCTTTAGGGGGTCCTATGATTCCGCCAATTCGAACACATGATAACAGACTCTACCACTTCGGATATAAAGTGCACACTTCTTTTTTGGCAATCCGCCGTAACGGGCATCAATATCAGAGTCTTTTGGCAACCTACTGAACCAGGTTTCCCACCCAAACAGCGGCAATCCGTGTCAGGCAACTCCAAAAAAGGTTTCCCAACCGGCCAAAGTCCCAGGTTTTCCCGCCCAAGAAGCCTCCAGTAGAGAGGTTAGAATTTGGGTACCGTTTTTTCCCCCCCCCTTTTTTCCTGCAGTCTATTTTAGGGGAACCGAATCTCCCAGCCAAAAAAGGGGTGAGAAAGGGCACCAATTGGGGGACCTAGGCAAAGAAACTCGGGAGGAGATCGCTGGGCCGAGCGGCCATAGAGGAGGCTGAGCACCTGAACCCGGGTCTCGCTCCACTTCCCCCGGCCCCCGGCCAGCGTGGGGCCCTGACCTCAGCTCTTGCCGAGCTGCCGGTGGCAAAAAAAGGGCGGGTTTGAAATCCGCGGAATTTCCTGAAGAAAACCAAGAAAGAGAACCAGCAAGTCCTTTTTTGCGGATGCGAGCTGGAGCTAAGGACTCTCACTTCTTGAGTGGATTGGTCAGAAAAAAGTCTAAACCTTTTGCTTACCACTAACATGGTCTACCCAAAAAGTTTGAAGTCCAGGTAATCAGGAAGTGAGGAATCCTGGAACGGAACGCAGCCTTAGCTTTGGCATGAGATTGGGGGAAGCACGTGCCAGCTTGCCTCAAGAAAGCTTCGGATGCTGTATTTTATCCTAGTGAAATCGCTGCAGATTGGAAAATTCTGTGGACTTCTTGTAATTATGCAATGTATATCTTGCTCGTCTGCAGCATCATGCCTTATTCTATCTTTCTTGCTGATTCAGAGTCCCATGCTTCACTCCAAGCAGGAGACATGTCTCATTCACCACCGGCCAGCAGTACAGCAAAGCGCAGTGGTCGCACACATTTTGTGCTTTGCTTTGGAAGAACGAAATTATCAAGCAGCAAATTATGTGCTTGCGCACCTTGGGATTATACATATATATATATATATGTAATATAGAAGATAAGCTAGCAACTACATGAAAGGCACATGGTTGAGGTACTCATGGACACATATGACGCAAGTGTACCGAACAGATTGAACATCCATGAGTGCTTTCTGGTCCAAGTAGACCTTCCGTTGACAATGATCGATCCTCACTACCCCAGCTTTTGCCAGCAGTAAACAATGACATGTTCAGAATCCGGTCCCTACTCAGTGAAGATAATAAAGGTCAAACTACCAAAAAACAAACGCATGCTTTGAATGTCGGCAAGCAAAAACGTTGCCCTGAAAAGGTGCCAACAAAAAAAGGACAACCCAAAAAGAGGGTGTTGCACATTTTGATGAGTGCGATTACGTTCATTCCCCCAAAACCAACCCAGGACCGCTCCCCAAAAGAGGGACGTCTTAAGGCTGTCCAATTCTGGCAACAAATTGATAGATGTCTGCCAACTACCCAGTACCAAGTCACCTCCAAAACGCAGCACAAAAGGGTGACCCTCATTTCCCCCCCCCCCAAAACCACCCCCCCTTCTAAAACAGCAACAACACCACCAACAACAAACAAACAAACAAACAAACAAACAAACAAACAAACAAACAAACAAACAAACAAACAAACAAACAACCGAACAAACACACACGCAAGCAAGCAAGCAAGCAAGCAAGCAAGCAAGCAAGCAAGCAAACAAACAAACAAACAAACAACCAAACACACAAGCAAGCAAGCAAGCAAGCAAACAAACAACCAACCAAACAAGCAAGCAAGCAAGCAAACATACAAACAACCAAACAAGCAAGCAAGCAAGCAAACAAACAAACAAACAACCAACCAACCAAGCAAGCAAACAAACAACCAAACAAACAAGCAAGCAAACAAACAAACAAAAACAACACACCACAACATAAAAGGTTCAACCCCCCCTCCCCCCTCGCCGCCCCCCCGCGGCCACCCCGAATCCGAACCGAGTCGCTGCGGGGCTGCAGCCGACTCCGCAGCCCGCGGCCGCGGAAACCCGCTTCGCCGTGGGCGAGCGCCAGGTACTCCCGGGTGAGAAGGCCCGCGTGGAGCTGGACCTCTCAGTTTTCCCGCTCGGAGTGGCCTCTAGGTCCTCCAGTTTTGGAGGTGGTTTCTAGGTCCAGTGGAGAGGTTAGAAGAAGGGTGCCCGATTATTTTTTTCAGTTTGGTCTATTTTAGGGGAACCGAATCTCCCACAACCCAAAAAAGGGTGAGAAAGGGCAACTGCACCTAGGTTTGGCTTTTCGGGTGCGTTTTGTGGCAGTTCCAATCCGCCGTTCTGGGTGTGTGGGTTTCCCATTCACCGGCAGGCTCAAGGAGGCGAAGGGCCTGTGGTCTCTGGCTCATGCTCCGTCCAGCGTTGATTCCCCAACAAAAAACCGGGGTGATTTTCTGTTGTGAAGTTGGACACCTCAAAGGCCAGTGTCAACAGCAAGCGCCTTAGATTGGGAAACAAATGGCACAAGCACGGTAACAGGATCTCCATGAGCTGTGTCCGCTACTTGCAGTCAAGGATATCAACAGGTATCAAACTAGGACCTCCCTCAAACAAAAGTAAACCCTTCCATCACAAACCCAAAGGGGTTCACCACTTGGAGACAGACCCTTTGCATGCCACAAATGAGACTTCCAAACCCATCTTTGAAAGTGCGCTATTTTGTTCGCCACCCAGGACATAAGGAGACTCACAGGCCACCGATGGGACAGTTTGGTGGTGCCCCAAGAAATAACCTATCAACCAGTCATGTCGATTTCACGCTAAGCAAAAATGAAAGCATCGCTTGCACACACCTCAAGCTCAAGGGAGGGACATTAGTGAAGTCCACTGCAACGGTGCACTCATTGACCCCTTGGAGTGGTTGGGTCTAAGTCAAAAGCTGCGGCCGGCAAATTGGCCGTTGGCAGAAGGGGACTTTCTCTGGGTTTGAGGGCTGTATTCGCTTGAAGGGGATCCCAACAACAGGCCAAGACCGATTCCTCCCCAAATTAGCCAGCGATTTTTTCCCAGCGGTTGATGCCCAGGGGTTGAGGGCAGTAAACAGAATCGCTCATGACATTTTGGTCACGTGCGCTTGTTCTTCTTCCAACGCGATCCAGAAAGCATCGGAATCAAGTATCTTTGGCTTTTCGCCTCCGCCAAACCGGAGCGCAAGACCAGGCCTGGAGGTGGTAGAAGGATTCGTAGGTCTTTGCGACGATGATCAGACCTGTCGAATGGAGCTTCGATGGATGCACAACCATCCGCGCGCTTTCCTTTTGAATGAGGCCGGGTAACGTAGCCTCCCTTTAACCATAGAAGCGGAAGTGCGGGAAGACTTGGGGAGGGGGATCATTTTCGAACACCGATTTTGGATCATTTTCAGAACGCACTTGACAACGGGCGCGACCCGAGACCCGAGACCCGAGACCCGAGACCCGAGACCCGAGACCCGAGACCCGAGACCCCGAGACCCGAGATTCGAGACCCGAGACCCGAGACCCGAGACTCGAGACCTCGAGACCCGAGACCCGAGACCCGAGACCCGAGAGCCCGAGACCCGAGACCCGAGACCCAAGACCTGAGACCCGAAACCCTGAGACCCGAGACTCCGAGACTTGAGAACCGAGACTCCAAGACCCGAGACTCCGAGACCCGAGATCCGAGACCCGAGACTCCAAGACTCCGAGACTCCAAGACTCCGAGATAGGACCCTAGACCCAAGACCCGAGACCCGAGAGCGCTCAACACTACCACATGTAGCATGTCCGCACCGCTTAGCACTGTATCCATGCCAGGCACACGGTAAGAACACCCGTTCAAGTGCACCCGCTTAGCACTGTATCCATGCCAGGCACATGGTAAGAACACCCGTTCCGTTCAAGTGCACCCGCTTAGCACTGTATCAATGCCAGGCACATGGTAAGAACACCCGTTCAAGTGCACCCACTTAGCACTGTATCCATGCCAGGCACATGGAAAGAACACCCGTTCAAGTGCACGAGCTGAGCACTGAGTCCATGCCAGGCACGTGGTAAGAACACCCGTTCAAGTGCACCCGCTTAGCGCTGTATCCATGCCAGGCACATGGTAAGAACACCCGTTCAAGTGCACTCGCTTAGCGCTGTACCCATGCCAGGCACATGGTAAGAACACCCGTTCAAGTGCACCCGCTTAGCACTGTATCCATGCCAGGCACATGGTAAGAACACCCGTTCCGTTCAAGTGCACCCGCTTAGCACTGTATCCATGCCAGGCACATGGTAAGAACACCCGTTCAAGTGCACCCGCTTAGCAATGTATCCATGCCAGGCACATGGTAAGAACACCCGTTCAAGCGCACCCGACAAGGTTCAAGTGCACCCGCTTAGCACGCCAGGCACATGGTAAGAACACCCGTTCAAGTGCGCCCGCTTAGCACTGCATGCAAGGCACATGGTAAGAACACCCATGTAGCATGCCCGCACCCGCTTAGCACTGTATCCATGCCAGGCACACGGTAAGAACACCCGTTCAAGTGCGCCCGCTTAGCACTGTATCCATGCCAGGAACATGGTAAGAACACCCGTTCAACCGCACCCGCTTAGCACTGTATCCATGCCAGGCACACGGTAAGAACACCCGCTCAAGTGCACCCGCTTAGGTTCAAGTGCACCCGCTTAGCACTGTATCCATGCCAGGCACATGGTAAGAACACCCGTTCAAATGCACCCGCTTAGCACTGCATGCGTGCAAGGCACATGGTAAGAACACCCATTCAAGTGCACCCGCTTAGCACTGTATCCATGCCAGGCACATGGTAAGAACACCCGTTCAAGTGCACCCGCTTAGCACTGTATCCATGCCAGGCACATGGTAAGAACACCCGTTCAAGTGCACCCGCTTAGCACTGTATCCATGCCAGGCACATGGTAAGAACACCCGTTCAAGTGCACCCGCTTAGCACTGTATCATGCCAGGCACATGGTAAGAACACCCGTTCAAGTGCACCCACTTAGCATCCATGCCAGGCACATGGTAAGAACACCCGTTCAAGTGCACCCGCTTAGCGCTGTATCCATGCCAGGCACATGGTAAGAACACCGTTCAAGTGCACCCGCTTAGCACTGTACCCATGCCAGGCACATGGTAAGAACACCCGTTCAAGTGCACCCGCTCAGCACTGTATCCATGCCAGGCACATGGTAAGAACACCCGTTCAAGTGCACCCGCTTAGCACTGTATCCATGCCAGGCACATGGTAAGAACACCCGTTCAAGTGCACCCGCTTAGCACTGTATCCATGCCAGGCACATGGTCCGTAAGAACACCCGTTCAAGTGCACATGCTGAGCACTGAGTCACATGCACAGGCGCATGGTAAGAACACCCGTTCAAGTGCACCCGCTTAGCACTGTATCCATGCCAGGCACATGGTAAGAACACCCGTTCAAGCGCACCCGCTCAGCACTGTATCGATGCCAGGCACATGGTAAGAACACCCATTCAAGTGCACCCACTTAGCACTGTATCCCTGCCACCATGCCCAGCACATTGTAAGAACACCCTTTACACCTTTTCAAGTGCACCCGCTAGCACTGTATCCAATCCAGGCACATGGTAATAACACCCGTTCAAGTGCACCCTCCATAGTCACCAGTATCCATGCCAGGCACATGGAAGAACACCCTTTCAGGCGCACCCACACATCACTGTATCGATGCCAGGCACATGTAAGAACACCGCTCAAGTGCACCCGCTGAGCATCCATGCCAGGCACATGGTAAGAACACCCGTTCAAGTGCACCCGCTGAGCACTGGTAAGAAAACCCGTTCAAGTGCACGCGCTTAGCACTGTATCGATGCCAGGCATGGTAAGACCACCCGCTCAAGTGCACCCGCTGAGCATTGTGTTCTTACCCTGTGCCTGGCATGGATACAGTGGTGAGCGGGTGCACTTGAGCCTTATCATGGACACAGTGCTGAGCGGGTGCACTTGAGCGGGTGTTCTTACTATGTGCCTGGCATGGACACAATGCTGAGCGGGTGCACTTGAGCGGGTGTTCTTACCATGTGCCTGGCATCGCAGTGCTAAGCGGGTGCACTTGAACGGGTGTTACCATGTGCCTGGCATGGATACAGTGCTTAGCGGGCGCACTTGAACGGGTGTTCTTACCCTGTGCCTGGCATGGACACAGTGCTCAAAACTCGAGACCCGAGACCCGAGATCTGAGACCCCGAGACTCGAGACCGCTCAGCACTGTACACATGCCTCTCACGTGCACCCGCTCAGCACTGCGCCCGCCAAATAGTAAGCACGCCCGCTTACGCGCCCTAGATTCGAGATTCGTGACCCGAAGCCCGAGACCCCGAGACCCGAGACCCGAGATCCGAGACCCCGAGACCCGAGACCCGAGACCCCGAGACCCGAGATCCGAGACCCGAGACCCGAAACCCGAGACCCGAGATCCGAGACCCGAGACCCGAGACCCGAGACCCGAGACCCGAGACCCCGAGACCCCAAGACCCGAGACCCGAGACAGACCCCAGACCCGAGACCCGACACCCGAGACCCGAGACCTAAGACCAGAGACCCCAGACCCCCAGACCCGAGACCCGAGACCCGAGACTCGAGACACAAGACCCGAGACCCCGAGACCCGAGACCCGAGACCCCGAGACCCGAGACCCGAGACCCGAGACCCGAGAAGTGTCGGGGAGCCGCGGGCCGATTGTCAAGTTCGATCTCATCATTTTCGAACACCGATGTCCTGGATCATTTTCGAACACAGAGTGGGTCATTTTCGAACACATGGGGGGGGCTATCCTGCGGCACCCGTGGGGTGGGGTGGGGGGTGGGTGGGGCAGTTACGTTCGCCTCTTACTGCGTGCCCGTGCAACTGCGCCCTGGGGCTGGGGGTGGGGGTGGGGTGGGGCAGTTACGTTCGCCTCTTACTGCGTGCCCGTGCAACTGCGCCCTGGGGCTGGGGGAAGGGGGCAGCCAGGAGGCTCCGAGTCCCAAGTTACCTTGGCTTTCTGAGCAAGATGTCCTCGGCGACTTGTGCTCGTTGGCCCCCGTAAAGCCGTGAAAACTCGGCCTAACGGCCGTAACAACTCACGCGGGAAACTGAAAGGCCGTTACTACTCCGTGAAAAAGCTGTGAAAACGCGTGAAATTTCAAGCTCTGAGTTTTCTTGTCCTCGCGACACAAAGAACATCCTTAGCTCATACGGCCTAGTAACTTGCGAATCGGAGCCTCCTGGAATTGCGATCGCCGCTTACTGCGTGGCGGCGCAACTGCGTATTGGGGCTGGGGAGGGGGGGTGGGGTGGGCTGGGGGGGGGGTGGGGTGGGCTGGGGCTGGGGGGGATGGGGCGGGGCAGTTACGTTCGCCTCTTACTGCGTGACCGTGCGACTGCGCGCTGGTGGTGATGGTGGTGTTGTTGGTAGTGATGATGACGATGTTGATAATGCTGGTCATGATGATGATGATGATGATGATGATGATGATGATGATGATGATGATGATGATGATGATGATGATGATGTTGACGATGTTGTTGATGATGATGATGATGACGGTGATGATATTGATGATGATGGTGATGAGGATGTCGACGGCGATGACTTTGATGATGTCGATGATTATGGTGATGTCGACGTTGATGTTGATAATGGTGATGATGTTGTTCATGATGATGATGATGGTGATGATGTTTGATGATGATGATGATGAAGATGTTCGTGGTGATGTTGATGATGGTGATGATGATGTTGGTGTTGATGTTGATGATGGTGATGTTGTTGGTAGTCATGATGACGATGTTGATGTTGATGTTGATGGTGATGGTGATGGGGATGGGGATGGGGATGGGGATGGGGATGGTGATGATGATGATGATGATGATGATGATGTCGCTTTGCGTTCCTTGTGCTTGGCTTTCCCGGGTCTACAGTTGACGATTGTCTCCCAAAAGCACGGCGCCATCCCTGTGCTACACGTGCATCGTGGTGTGTGTTCGTGCGCCTCATCGTGGTGTGCATGGACACTTGGAAAAAATGGCCGTGCTGCTGTAAATCACATACACTTGAGCAAAACCGCGTTCAAAAACGAGCCAAAACACGCGTTCAAAAACGAGCCAAAACACGCGTTCAAAAACGACCACCTTCCCGAAGACTTGCGGGTTGAACTACCTCTGCCTGATTTTTACTAGCGCTGGTTTTGTTAGGCTGGCAACATCCCCAGCACGGAACTGGCTGAACATCGAATCACCGGTTAACAAAGGGCTGGGTTGTTTTAGGGTTTGGCTCTGCAAAGGGCTAGTTGGGAGGGCTGACTTCGGGTGGGTAAAACCCTGCCACCAATTGAGGCCTACAGCCAGCTAGACCCAAGAAACTCCCTGTTCAATTGCTCACAGCATGCTCCCACATCATAACAACTTTGGATTGAAATACGTATTTCACAACCCTACTTTGAGCATTTCCGCGCATTGGGCAAATTGTAGGACGCGCCTTCAAAGTGTGGTACTCCCTTTTGAAGAGGGTCCCAAACACCGAATCCGATCCGTCCGTGCCTGAGCTGGGTACGTCCAAACGGTGGAGGAATCCGCAGTTGTGGGCCAGGTCTTGGAAGATGGCCGCACCTGAGATTCACGAGGCGCGCCATTTTTAGAGGCGCCCTCTTGTCCACGTTGCCACGGCGCACACCAGATACATGATCCCTTTTAAAGGAAACGGCTCCAGGAGAGTTCATTTTTCAGATTTGGATCGTCTTGGGAACTCTGGGAGCAAACGGGCCCACCAGAGGTTGGGATCAAACTCCGTGAAGAATTCTGATACGCTCCCTGTGACCCTTTGCAGCCACGAGCCCTGGCTGCGTCACTGGAAGGCCAACAATTGCTTTAGCCCGGGAAAGTAAGAATACTACAGTGATATATTCTTAAACACCAACAGGGAAAACCACAAGATATTCTTTAAGCAAATGGAAGCTAAGACTTGGGATGGGAAGGGGGCCATCAGCAAGCCCTCCATGGCCCGTCGCTTCAAACTCCCGCTGAGGCACCGAAGGATTGAACCACGAAGCTGCTCAGCTGACGCTTGGTGTGGCCTCGCACAAGTGAATAGATTAACTTCGAACCCAAAGAGGGGGTCGCCCACAAGGAGTTTTGTCTAGAAATATGAATTTGGTTTCCGTGGGAGTAGATTTAACAGCCTTTGGATGGCTCTTGTGAGTGAGCCGCCTTGGGCCTCTATTTGGCTTCCATCAATCTCCCATAGCCGAGCAAAACAAGCCATCCAACAATACTGTGCACGAGTCCTTGGTTGGACAGCCTTGGTCAGGTCAAATAAGCGCACTGGGAACCCATGCTGGTAGGCATTGTCAAATGAGTAAATATGAATGCGACACAAATGCTAGGGGCAAGGGTTTCCTTCACCCTGAAACAAGGGATCCCCATGTAAAGAACCTTCATATTGAACTCGTTTTGGCCCCGGGTGAGCTCTTTGATGGGCGTCTCATGCTTGTCGCATGCTTTGTGCTGCCTTTAGGTGAATGATGCCTAGGACTCTATGATGACTAAACTAGACATACTGACACACACACACAAGTCCACATCACATGCTTGATTGTCTTGCTATCAGCAGAAAGTCAAGCTGTCCGACTTCTCACCCGGTTATCTCAGCTCCGGTTCTCTCAATCCGCCACGGGCAAACGCTCGCTGCATCGACTCGAGCCCTTAATCCACGAAGAAAAACTGAAGTGAGTGGCGGGAGCTTGTGGTATGCCGCTCCGAGTGTCTATTGGCTTGGCTCCGAGGTTTCAAGCAAGGTCGAGCCTGACACCCCAACGGAACATGGGATTGGGCAACCATGTTGCAACACATGTCAACCCCGTTGGCGGTTTCCCTTTCTCCCGCAACCGAAACCAGGTTCTCCAAACCTCTCATTCCAATGACAGTTGTATGACCTCCTGACCATTTTGCTTGCGTTTCTTTGAAGCGGGCGTAGCCATACATGCCACATGCAGTGGATGGACAAAATCCTGCACCACCCAAGAAACCCTGGAATGATGATTCCCCTGAAAACACCAACGAACCATAGTGTCAACCATGATTTCAAAAGCGGTGCCTAAGAGGATTTCGCACAGTATCCAGGGACCCGTTTTTTCGCTTTCTTTTTTGGCCAAAAAGGGCCAAACAACACGAACAAAAACGGGTCATGCACCGGGCGAGCGGGGATCCGCATCGGCGCCTCCGTAGGTCTCCCACCCAGACGGCTTCTGCAGCACCAGGCAGTCCCGCTGGTCCAGCACCAGCGGTGAGTCGGTGCCGCCCGAGGCCTCGGGAAGTTCTATGGGGCTAGGTGGGCTTCGTTTGGGGTGTCCATCAAGATGTCCTTTGGGGAGTCGTTTTTCCAAGAAAATCCGCACAAAGGTAGACCCATTGAAGGGTGGCCATGGGTCAAAATCTAAATTGTGTCCCCGCAAAAATAGAGTAACATGGGTGGTGCACCTACCCCAAAATGGTACCATTGGTTTTGACCCACGGCCATTTCAACCCCCACTGATTGAAAGTGAGGTTGGAGAACCACCTCCTTAAATTGGCCGTAAGGGCTATCAAACATGGATCCCCCTCCCCTTTCCTGGGTCAAGCCATGGGTGGATAGCTAAGCTGTGAGTGGTCCCTTGTTCTTTTTTGCTTGCCATAAAGATTGGGACTTCCAGCTTTCATTTGGCAACACATTGGCACACAGGCTGCTCCTTCCCTGCGGCTGGCCTTGATGTCACTTGGCTATGCGGTACGACGCCTATGGTCTGCCTGCATTCTGCCTGGGAAACAAGGAAATGCAGCTCTGCACCCGAAACCTAGGATTCAAATCGTTTTTACCCTTTCACCAGCTTCGTCAAGATGTACGATGTTACGAGCTGACCCAAATGCCCTTGAACGGCCAAATTCTGCTCACACCCGGTATCATCCACTGGTGGAACATGCGCCGTTCAATCGACCCGAGCTATGCCAAGGGCTGGCCGTTTGAACCAGCCAACTTTGTAGCACCCTGCTGTCAAACCAAGCTGGGCCACAACATGGACGCAATCAACAAACCACTCCTTTCCCAGCACCCCCCTTTTTTACCTCAGCTTTTGCTCACCAAGAATACTTTTTGTTGGGTACATATCTCGTGAACCTTTCAATATATTGAAAGTTCCAACGGCAGCACAACGTGTGCGAGAACACATATTTTACTTTTTGTGTCTTCCACGTTGCTGTCCAACCCCTCCCCCCCCACACGCCGGGCGCCTGCAGTGGCGCTTCTTGCGGCGGCCCATCCATGCGCCGGCCCACCCTTCGCAGTGCGGTGGTCGCGGCGTGGAGCAAGCGCTGGCGCAGAAAGCCGCTGAGGCGGCAGGCGGCCAAGATGCCGAGCAGGGAGATGCCCAAATCCGGAAATGCCAGGCGAGACCTGAAGATCGTAGAAGTGTGCACGTGGACTTCGTTCTCAAGTACTCATCAACACAAGCAAACACAAGCAAATCGAATACGATGCTGTACAGGTTGACTTTGCCCAACGGAGTCCATGTGGTTGTGTGGCAGGTATTTCTTTCTGTGTGTTTCGAGGGGCGCTACATGAAAATGCGACCTTTCGGGGCCTCCCTTTGGTTTTTCTGCGGCGGTTTCGCGGGTTGAGTCTCTGCGTGTGTTGGACCCCTCGCCTTTTGAGCTAGCCTGCATCATTTAGTATTGTGTGGTATTGGTTCGGCATTGGTCTAGGTTGCGCAGTATTAGAAGTGATAGGAACTGTTTTGGACTCTGATTGCTTAATTCCCTTTTGGGTTGCAGAATAAAGTTGGCACAACCGTTCTGTATATATATATATATATGCAACCCCCCCCCCCATGGACCCTGGTTTTACTGCCTTTTGGGGATGGCAAATCTAGAATTTCCAAGTTTATATTCTCGAAATTTCCAATTGTGGGTCCCCAAAGCGTGATAATTTGGAGCCCGGAGTCCTCCACAATGTCCCAGTATGATACCCTTTGCACATAAGATGTTACTTCAACTAGAATTGGAATTTTGAATATAGTTTAGTATGGATATAGTTTTCAAAAATGTGTTTATGTTCAATTACAGCTTAAACAAGCAAATCCTTTCCAAATAGCAGCTACATGCAAATGTAAATATATATTTTCGGCTAAACTCCAACTAATCTATAACACAAGAAGTTAGATGGAAGTTTTTTCCCAAATATAATCCAAGTGGTAAGTATAATCTAAGACGAACAACTCAATTTGCTTTTGATAATATCAAGTGAATAGAGACTACATCTCAAATATAATTCATATTAAATATGGCTAAACATTTGGAAATTAAAAATAGGATTTGTGTTGTTTACATTCTGGCCCTTTTGTAGCATAAGAAAGGTCCGACATTGAACTTGTTAGACGGTGTTCCAAAGGGAAATTTCAAGGGAAGAGAGGTTCAAAATCTAAAACTATCTCGAAACAGGGATTCTAGCTAAACCGTTGTATTTAAAGTTCTATTTGCGCAGGAAAGTTAATTCTATGTCAAAAGGTGGAGGTAGTAGATGAGCAAATGTGGACAGGTAGTTGAAGAGGGTGGGGGACGGTGTGTGAACGTACATACATATGTATATCTATATATACACATACATACACACATATATAGTACCCCCAATGATCCTGCGCCTCCTCATAAAATACTGGAAAATGCAGTATTTTTGAGCGTTGCACCTGCCTTTGTTTACCTCCTGGAAAGGGGTCAACATGAGTATAGCTGACATGAAGCTCACCAAAAGCACTTGAAAGTTTGTCTTAACTTGAAAGTGTGTCCACTGGATCGCTAAGCACTTGAACATTTGCTACTGTCGGATGGAAGATTCAATTTTGAAGATTACACAGAACACTTTCCTGAGAATTGTCAATCCTGGCCAAACCCAAATAGCATTCAAGTTCTTCTAACACTTGAAAGTGCTTTACCACTGGATTGGGGATCAATATTGAGGAGCCCACAAACCACCACTTTCCTGAGAATCATCCATCCTGGTCAACCCCTAAAATGTTCAAGTTGTTCTATCACCTCGAACATCCGTTACCACTGGATTGAATTTCACGGAAAACTTTTCCGAGAATCTTATTGAACACCGAGAGTACTGGGACAACCCTGGAATTTTTAAAACTTTTTAAAAATTATGGGATTCAAGATTCAAGATTCCCAGAACATATTTTCTCAGATTCTTGAATCTTGAATCTTGAATCCATAACTTTTAATAATTTTTAAAAATTATGGGATTCAAGATTCAAGATTCAAGATTCCAGGAAAATGTTTTCTCACATTCTTGAATCTGGAATCTTGAATCCCAGAATTTTTAATAATTTTAAAAAATGTCTGAGTTGTTCTTGTATTCTTGGATGCATTCAAACTCTTTGAGATTGCAGGTGCTGATGTCATTGCTTTTATCACATCTGTATGCATGCATGCGTATCATATACATGTACGACCCTCCCCCCAATTTTGACACAAATCCAAGAAGCAAAAAGAAGCATAAAACACTGGAAAATACAGGTCAACCGCACCAAACCAGGGTCCATGGGGGGGGGTACCATATATATATATATATATATATCTTGCTCTTTGACTAGTCGGGCCCCGACAGTAATTCCTTGCGGATGTCGCAGCCGCTTGTTGTACTTAGATGAACATATACTTATCAAAGGCAGTTTGCAAGGAACTTTCGTGGACGGACACTAATTGCAGCTAGCTCTCTGACAAACGGCAAGAGGAGAACACGCACGAGACCAAATGCGTGCACCTGTGGCAGCGAAATGGACATGTCCAAAAAGCGTCGGACCCGGGTCCATTGGCACGGACGCGCGCGTGTCTTTTTGCAGCGCAGCACTTCACAAGGTCGGATACAGATTTTGTGGCACGTGCAGGGCTTTTGCAACGTTAGGGACAGAGAACGCGAAGAGCAACAGAGCGAGACAAATATATTGAAAGAAGAGAAAAGAGCAAGAAATAAACAAGATAAAGAGAAAGACGAGACACGTAAATCATGAACACAAGTACAAGGAGACGGAACTGAAACATACGCATTAAACAAAGAACAAGAGAAGCCTTCTGCTCATAGGCTTCGCCGGCTCTACTACGTATGTAGACGCACATTAACAACTCTATAATATAACTATACGCACCGACACATGCATCTAAATACATTATATAAGTATGTGTATACACACACACCCACACGCACGCATGTGTGTGTACTTTGCGTCGTGGTTATGCTTTGAGTTCGTCCAAAGGGCATGGACCTCGACTTGTGTATCCCTCTGGCCAAGGATGAGTTCAGTGTCTGCTGGTTCTCGGCCAAACCAACATGGAGTGACCAAGTTCATACCGTAGGTGGACGAATTAATCAAACCCTTACAGTTATAATGCCCCCCTTGCCCCCTCGATTTCAATGTTATTGCCCGTTTGGAGGATCAGGCTGGGTGGACGAATTAAATCAAACCCCGATGACATGAAAAGTGCTCGTGCGCAGTGTAACATTGACATTGGGGGGTACTGGGGGTGTGCGCCATGTCTGTTGGTGGTTTGATTAATTTGTCCATCTACTGTCTGGGTAGCTAGTTTTTCAGATGTCCTCTCCTAGAAACATCTGCTTGTCTTTCGTCTGCTGCCCAATGTCCTCACTTCACTCCCAGAAAAATAAGCTTGTCTGTCGTGTTTTTTTCCATCGATTTTGTCTTAGAAAGGTGAAAGAATGTCTGCTAGTCAGTTGCATGGCGCAAACCCGCGTGCTGCGCAATGTCGCTCTCGGCAACATCCGTCTGCTGCGCAATGTCCTCACTTGGCCACCTGCTTGTCTTTCGCATTTGCTTTTCTCTGAGCAGTCAGTTGCCTGTCGAAAACCAAACCATATGCCGAGCAATGCCGCTCCCAGAAACATCTGCTTCCTGTCCTCACTGGTCTGCTAGTCAGTTGCATGGCGCAAACCCGCGTGCTGCGCAATGTCGCTCTCGGCAACATCCGTCTGCTGCGCAATGTCCTCACTTGGCCATCTGCTTGTCTTTCGCATTTGCTTTTCTCTGAGCAGTCAGTTGCCTGTCGAAAACCAAACCATATGCCGAGCAATGCCGCTCCCAGAAACATCTGCTTCCTGTCCTCACTGGTCTGCTAGTCAGTTGCATGGCGCAAACCCGCGTGCTGCGCAATGTCGCTCTCGGCAACATCCGTCTGCTGCGCAATGTCCTCACTTGGCCATCTGCTTGTCGTTCGCATTTGCTTTTCTCTGAGCAGTCAGTTGCCTGTCGAAAACCAAACCAAATGCCGAGCAATGCCGCTCCCAGAAACATCTGCTTCCTGTCCTCACTGAAACATCTGTCTTTCGCGCGTACCTGGACAAGTGGACTGAGGCATGGCAGTAATGTTTGCTTGCCTCAGAAAGCTAGCATGTCGTTGCTGCAGCACATTTCAGCTCTTGCCCTTGCGCGCTACAAACGCTGCAGATTTGCCTGTGCGCCGTCCATGGCGCCCAAAATCTGCAACTTGGGAGTGGACCTGGCCAACCGCGTCAGTGCACGCATGAAGCAGCTCGGGTACGGCCCCAAAGCCATCCGGCAGATCCTTCTTCCTGTGACGGGCAAGAAGGCCATGAAGAAGGATACCGCGTTCGTGCACGTGTCGCCAATTGAAGAGGAGCTCATGAAGCACCTTCATTCCGATGGCCTTGGCGTCAAGAAGGTTGCAGCAGCGGTGGGCCGCTCCACTGACACAGTGTCCAAGCACCTCTTCCGTAAGAACAAGACGAAGTCCGGGCGGGTGGGGCCCAAAGTCATCATTACGGAGAACAAGTACAAGCAGATGGAGAAGGCGTACCAGAAGCTGCTGCGTCAGGCCAAGGGCAAAGAGGTCACTGTCGCAGTGCTGAAGAAGGAGCTGAAGCTGAAGTGCAGCCTCAAAACCATCAGCCGGGCATTTTGGGCACACGGGGTGCACTTCCGGCCGCTGTATGAGAAGCCGGATTTGTCCCCAGAGGACGTCAAAGAGAGGTTCGCGTGGGCAGAGGCCCACTCCCACCGAAGTGCGTTGCAATGGGAGCGCTGCTCAACAGCAAGAGATCTTTCAAAGTTTGGATAGATACGCCCCAAGCAAGACTCACTAATCTTTTTCTCGTTCTTTGGCTGCTGAGGCTACTTGCACGCCATCATTGACAACAAGACGTTCCAGGTGTACCACACAGGGAAAGCAAGGGATCATGCTGCCCGACGCAGTATTCGTGGTGCCTACCGCAGCAAGCGCCGAGTCTTTACCGCTGGCTACACAAAGCCCCCGACCGCGCTGAAGCAGAACACAGGAGCCAAGTCAGCCCAGGTGACATGTGCCATTGGCAATGGCAAGGTCCTCATGTGGCACGTGACCAAGGGGCAGTGGAACGGGGCATCC